GGCACTCTACCCAGGGGGACAGCTTGAGGCTCTGTCTCAAAAAAAAAAAAAAAAAAAAGAGGCTGATCCAAAGCTAACTCCACACTTCCCTTGAATGCCCCGTGTTCCCCGCTATTTCCTGCTTCTGCCCTGCAAGGGTCCCCGTGGTATGTGGTCATCTCGGGCTGCTCCAGTGGGAGGCAGCAGGTCCTCAGTCTTTTTGGACTTTGAGACCTTTTTTTTTTTTTTAAGAGACAGTCTCCCTCTATTGCCCAGGCTGGACAGTACAGTGGCTCATCATAGCTTGTTGCAGTCTTGAGCTCCTGGTCTCAAGTGATCCTTTTGCCTCAGTCTCCTGTGTAGCTAGGAATCAGGAGGCCACCACTCTTGGCTGATTTTAAAAAAAAAATTTTTGTAGGAAATGGGGTCTCACTGTGTTGTGCAGGCTGGTCTCAAACGCTTAGGCCCAAGAACCCTTCCTACCTTAGCCTCCCAAATGTCCTCATTTATTTAATTTCTCAAATCCTTCTACTTTGGCCACTGGGAGCTCTTCCTGGAGGCCCCTGCACCCCTGCTGGACCCTCTCTGGAACACTCACTTTCAGGCCCTGAAGGATGCCCTGGCTCGGCCCAGGAGCTACTTGCTTCCCCAGGAGCTTTCCTGGGTGGTGTCTGGGAGCCGAGGTCTGGTGCGGGGGTGCCCTGTGATGCGGGGGCCCTCCCAGCAGACAGAGCTGGGAAATAGAAGTGTGCACACCAGCCCACATGCTAACCCAAGGCACATCTGTGCTTCTGCGCACATCTGTGTGTTGTCTTTTAAGATAACACGTTTGAGACTTTTTCTTTTAGCAGTATTTTCTCCTGTATTTTTGGCTTCGTGAACAATTTAGGTCTTGTCAAAAGTGTCTATCTGGGGATAGAGGATGAGTATCTTTTCAGGAACTTGAAAAACCACTTGATTCAAGATTCTAAGAGCAAAGCATCTTTTCAACACCGTGAAATCATTTAAATTGCCTTCCCTAAGGAAGTGATCACAGGACGGATCCAGATTAGCACTGGTGGGTGTGTGTCCGAGGTGCCAGGAGGGGGCTGTCTTGCAGTCGCTTACCCCGTAACACGTCATCCTAAAATACTCATCTCCTAAGGTTTTGGTGACAGCCTCTTTTTGCGGCTTCTCAGCTCATGTTAAAGAGACAAGCACGCTCATTAGCATGGACGGTGTGACACGTGCTTGCTGTCACCAGCGTCCCCCACGGGCAGCTTCGCCCACCCCGCCACCTGCTTCTCTCCTTCTCGAGCATTTTGAGGCAAATTCCAGGCATCATGTGTAAATATTTCTGATGTGTATCTAAAAGACTTTTTAACACAACCACAATGCTATTATTCCTCTTTAAAAATAACATAGTTTAGGCTCGGTGCCTGTAGCTCAGCAGCTAGGACACCAGCCACATACACTGGAGCTGGCGGGTTCGAATCCAGCCCGTCCCTGCCAAACAACAATGGCAACTATAACAAAAAAATAGCTGGGTGATGTGGTGTTCACCTGTAGTCCCAGCTACTTGGGAGGCGGAGGCAAGAGAATCGCTTGAGCCCAAGAGTTTGAGGTTGCTGTGAGCTGTGAGGCTACAGCACTCTACCCAGGGCAACAGAGTGAGACGTCTCAAACAAAACAAAACAAAAAACAACATAGTTTAGCTTGTTGTTATGGTGGGGGCCTGTAGTCCCAGCTACTTGGGAGACTGAGGCAAGAGAATCGCTTGAGCCCAAGAGTTTGAGGTTGCTGTGAGCTGTGACACCACGGCCCTCTACTGAGGGGCACAAAGTGAGACTCTGTCTCAAAAACAAACAAAAATACCCCAAACATAGTTCTTTCATATCTTCATATATCTACGCTCTGTTTAAAGTCCCTGTTGTCTCGAATGTCATTTTCTGGTGTTTCCGGGTTAGGTGTGTAGACCTGGTTTGATTCCTTCTATCAGGAAATACTTTTTTTGCTCTTCCTCTGAGTCTAAATGCTTTGGCTCAAAGCTTGGAACAGATGCACTGATGTAAGGATCTGCAGATGGGCACGCTGACACCATTGCTCTGCGCCCACTGTCTAGAACAGCGGTTCTCAACCTGTGGGTCGCGACCCATAGGCACTGTATTAAAAGACCGTGGCATTAGGAAGGTTGAGAACCACTGGTCTAGAAGGTTCTGCATTCTCCTCTGCTGAGAACTCAGTGTGCCAGGGTCTGGGCCTGCCAGTGATGACTCCTTTCCACCTGGGTCCCCAGACTGTGTGTGTTTTGCTACCATCCCTCTGTGTGACCAGTATAACTGACCTGCTTGTCATTTTTTCTTTAAACTCATGGAGTTGAACCTATTTGGGGTCTTCTGGTCCACACACTGTCCTGCCTGGGGCCTGTGGAAGCCACGTGTGGTTGGCTCAGAACCCTCTGCAAAGATGCTTCCAGCTCCTCCTGGGTAACTGCTGTTTGAGATTTGGAATCGGCCATTTCTCCAGGGATAGAAAGAGAATTCAGGACACAGCTGAGCTCTGGGGAGGCCACTGGAGCGGTCTTGTTTCCAGGTCTTTTGGGGACAGAGCCAGGAACTGCCTTTCTGTTAATTTCAAGGCTGCTTCAGACTGGGAGGACAGGCTCCTCCTGCCCACCTCCCTCACCAGCAGGCCTGGGCAGACCGGAGACCAGCCGCTGGGACTGGCGTGGCCACTGCCTCGCTGCTTCACCTGGTGCTGGGCGGGTGCTCAGTGTGTTCCCTGAGACAGCCCAAGTTTCTTGGCTTTTGTGGTCCTTGCTCCTTAGGGCACATCTCAAATGGTGTGTCCTGAAGTCACCTGGGGTTGTCCTCTTTGGGACTAGGCCACCAAGGGACTCTGGCAGGTTCATTTGTTTCATTTTTAATGTTTAGAGATTGGTTTTCAAAATGTAATTTGTTTTAAAATTATGAGTCCTAAGTCCCGTGCACCCAATAGCATCTGTCCCAGAAGCTGGGCTTCCCGCCCTCCCTGCGCTCTCTGTTCCCCGTAGGCCCCTCTGCAGTGTCCTCTGTGGGTGGCACAGCTGACGGTGCATTTCCTTTTGTCTTTAGAGAGATGGGGGCTCTGCCCCAATGACCTCCCTCACTCCCCATTCAGCAGTATGTGCAGCACAGCACAGAACGTGCTGTGCCCCCTAGTGTCCTGCTGTTGGGCATTTGGGTCTTTTCTAGTCTTTCACTGATCCGAGCAGTGCTGTGGGCAGCAGCCGGGCAGCCTGTCTGGCTGGGGTGCTGTAGGGGTTGCCAGTGCGGCCCAGCCTCCCTGTGGGCTGCACCACTTTGCGTCCGCCCAGCATGTGGGGGGTTTTCTCTGCAGCTTCACGATACTTCCTGTCCACTGCCAGCATCCCTGGTCCTTGTGCTGTGGACTGTGACTGTGTCTCCCTGGTTTTACAGGCTTTCAGTGTTTGGTTGGGACTTGAAGCCTTGTTGGGCTACAGACTGCAGGTGTTCATCTTTCTCCTTTTCTGCCCATGTTCCAGAGCCTCTTCCATTGACTCTCTCTCTATGTGCTCCTTACGTGGGAGCTGAGGGCCCAGGGGCCTGTGTCTTCACCCTTCCTGGGCAGTCCTGCTCCCTGCAAGCCTCAGCTCTACCCAAGTGCTGGAAGCTGCCCAGGGTGTGCCTGTAGTCCAGCCCCTCCTGCACCTGTGTCTCCCGCCATCCGGCATCGGCTGCTCTGCAGCATGAGCTCTGGGCTCTGCTCCTGCCCTGTGTTCTCAGGCTTAGGCCCTGGGTCACTGCAGCCCAAATGGGTGAGCAATGTCTCCTTTCCCTGCCTGAACACTGTGTTTCTGTAGCCTCCCAGCCCAGTCTGGGTGTGCCCGGATGGTGCTGGGCCTGGCGATCTACCGACAGGCCCAGTGACTTGCTTGAGGGCACAGAGGCCACCCTTGCCCCTGTTGACGCCAGTCAGCTCCCACAAACTCTTCCTCCTCTGCTGCTTCCTACACTGCCACTGGCTACCCCAGACCCTGGTCCTCCTAGAGGGCCAGTGCTGGCTGTGCTCCTTCTGGGATGCCCTCTGCCTGATCTTGTGGAGTCTCTTCCCTAGAAATCTGGTAAGGAGGGGCCTGCACTGGCCCCTGAGGTTTCGTCCTGCTTCCCACTGCTCTGAGCAGAAAGTTGGGCACCTTTGCCAGCTTCAGGGGCCTTTGGGCTGGGCCTCAGGTCACGGTGCAGAAGGTCTCACTGGCCGGTCTGAGCAAGAGGCAGTGGGAGGCTGGGGTGATCTGCAGTGACATGGGGAGGCTGTGTGCTGGGACCGCTGCCCAGGAGTGCAGCGTGGAACCTGCAGAGCCTCGGTGGGGTGACTGGGCAGTGGGAGCTCCTGCCGCCCTCTCCATGTCTGGAATGGTGCGTGAGGCTAGGAAGGGGGACAGGTCCTCAGGGTGTCTTCTCCAGGCTCCATGGCTTCTGTGGGAAGGCTGAGGGACGCTGGATCACCGGGCAGGGCCAAGAGGGCAGCTGACGGCTCATCCAAGGAGGGTTCTGAGATCTGTCCGGGGCAGGAGTCTAAGGTCCAGGAAAGGTGCCCAGAGCAGGCCATGGTTCCTGGGGTGCCTGTTTCTGGGAGCCCCCTGGCCTCAGAAGCATAAAGAGCAGGACTTCCCCATCCTCAGGAACTGTCCAAGATCACGATGCCGATTGCCTTCAATGAGCCCCTGAGCTTCCTGCAGCGAATCACGGAGTACATGGAGCACGTGTACCTGCTGCACAGGGCCTGCCGCCAGCCCCAGCCGTTGGAGAGGATGCAGGTGGGCCCACGATCCACCATTTGAACATCTGGCCATGTATGGTGGGACCCCGCATTAAGCCTGGACGTAGGGACATCTGTGAGGAGGGCCGCAGGGCTCACCCTGCCTAGCGGCTACAGCATATGTCCACAGCATGTCTGTGGTATGTGGTTGCAGAACTTCAAGAGATGCCATGAGGCCCTTTGCGCCCCCAGAGGTCTCTCCTGCTGCCGCTGGGCAGGAGTGCCAGCCTCTTGGAGCTGCAGAGGGTGGTGGGCGCTGCCTTTGGGCAGTATTGAAGTCCTTTGGCACTATCACCCCCAGCATGTGTGTGTATGAATGTGTGCATGTGGGGCATGCGTGAGTGTGCGTGTGTGGACCCACGTGTATGTGTAAACGTGTGCACGAGGCATATGTGTGTGTGGACCCACACGTGTGCGTGTGGGGCATGCATGTGTGTGGACCCACATGTGTGTGTAAATGTGTGCATGTGGGGCATGTGTGTGAGCGTGTGAACCCACATGTGTGTGTAAACGTGTGCGTGGGGCATGCATGTGAGTGTGTGAGTGTATGGCCCCACATGTGTGTGTAAACATGTGCACGTGGGGCATGCATGTGAGTGTGTGGACCCACATGTGTGTGTAAACGTGCGCGTGGGGCATGCATGTGAGTGTGTGTGTGGACCTACATGTGTGTGTAAACGTGTGCGCGTGGGGCATGCGTGTGAGTGCGTGAACCCACGTGTGGATGTGTTTCAGATCTGTGAGTGACAGACAGACTGACGGCATGCCCTATGCAAGGAAGGGCCAGGCCACGAGGGCGGGAAACAGCGTGTGGCTGCTCCTTGCTGTGGCTTTAAGGACCTGGGGGTGACAAACAACCCTTCCTGGACGTTGTTCAGTCTCAACACATCCCGCTAGTGGAGGGTGAAATGTGATGAGGTACCTCGTGCTTTGCGACATGGCCCTGTGAGCAACGTGCTTCCCAGTGGCAGCTGTGAGGCTGTCCTCACCCCGTCTGTGGATTCTTTGCAGTCCGTGGCTGCTTTTGCTGTTTCGGCTGTGGCTTCACAGTGGGAGAGGACAGGCAAGCCGTTCAACCCGCTCCTGGGAGAGACGTACGAGCTGATCAGGTAAGAGTGAGGGCTCTGCCCGCCCAGACGCGACTCCTCAGAGGATGAGTGTGATTCTTTCCGTAGTGTTGATTGCTCTGCTCCGGGAATAAACGATTTGAACTAAGAGCTTACCACGAGCAAGAAAATGTTTCACATACATGGAATATTGGGTTACTAATGTAATAAAATCCTGGGAAATCTAAAGTAGCATTAAAAATAGAATATATATATTTTTGTGTCTAACTACATATAATCCAAAACAAGCAGCAAGATGAATAGGAGCCACATCACCAGGGTGCCAGAGCCACCCCTCAGCCTTTCTCTCTACCATGATGTCACTAAATAAGTTTCCCAGCCCAAAATAATTATTAGAACTCCCTCCCCATTTTTTAAAGGTCATCATGGCTACAGACCTCCTCCCTGTTTGCCAGCCCCAGCCTCCTGTATGACAGGAGGGCAAGGCAGGCCCTTCCCCCAAATATACAAAATATCACCCCTTCTCTGCCTCCCCATAAGTCTCTCCTTCAGCCCGTCCATGTCCCATCCGCCTCCCTTCTCAGGGTGGCTTCCTGGTGGCCATCTCGGCTGCCATTGTGCCCTAATCTTTCTTTTGCTAGAGCTGCTTCTTGGCCTGGGTCTGCAGCAGGAGCCCTTGCCCAGCCCTCCTCTGACATGAGCTGCTGAGAAGGGCGGGCACTGCTGCAGCTGCACACTGATGCTCATAGACGCTGCCCTGGCTCCTGCCGCCAACTCTGGCTCCTCCTCTGCCGCCTCCTCCTCAGCTCTACCTGCCAGAAGACCCTGGATGTGAGGGCGGCTGGTGGGCTGCTCCCAGACCCTGAGCCCATAAGCAGGGGAGAGGAGCTGTCTGCGTCCTTAGTGTGCTCTTGCCCAAAGAGCGACCAGGCCCACCAAAGCTAGGCAAGTGTGGAACAAAGTTTTATTGAGGAAGTGACAGGCAAGTTCCCAGAGCAGTGTACAGTCACCATAGATGGCCATTGGGCCCCTTTGTCACAGCAAGGGAAAAGGCAAAAGTAGACTATTTTAATGTGTTAGAGTCAAAAATGGAGATTGTCATGTTCACAGACAATTTCATACAGTGTGTGACGTGTACACGATGTGCAGGGTTGGCAGGATTCAGGCTTCTAATGAGCAAAACTGGGCCATTTTACCGAAAGATGTAATGAATGTTACTGAAAGAACTGGTAAGTGTAAGCGGGGACTGAGTCCCCAGGGGACTCACTGCACCAGAGGCCTTGTTTACCAGCACACTGCTTCACACAGGGGCGTCAGGAAGGGTAGAGGGTGCTGGCTGGCCTGGCACCAGGCAGGCCACCTCGTTGTCATCGAATGTCACTGATGGTCCCTCCCACAGACTGTCTCTTAGGCAGATTGACACCTCCTCCCTGGTTCCCTGCCTCTCCAGCCCTTGGCACACAGCATATCCCAGAGACTGGCCATGAGGGCCGGCTGGGTGCCAAGCCACATCTGCCATGGATGTGGAATATTATGTTACTAATGTAATAAAATCCTGAGGACTCTAAAATAGAGTTGAAAATAGAAGGCCTCTAGAAGGGTTGGGCTGGGCTGGCATTCTCTTCACTCACCATGGTGCCTTGGGGCTGCTGCAGTTGTCCAGAAGGTCACCCCGGAGGATTCCGTGCCGGGCAAGCAGGCCTGCAGGAACAAAGACATCAGACCACTACAGTGGTCTTGGGCAGATTGTGGCTTCTCAGGGGAACTGTTCTGAGAGCAGGCGTGTGTCCTCCTCCAGGGCCCTTTGCTGATGTCCAGAATGGCTTTTATTCCCCCTACCCCTGTGTTGTCCTGTCTGGACGTGCTGTGCCTCTCCTGGGGTGGCGCAGAAGGAGGCAGCTCAGACGCCGATCATGCTGGGTAGGTGACAGTTCTGAAAGAGGGGTCAGAGCTGCCGCCTAGGCTGTGCTGTTCCCCTCGCCTCTCTACACTCTGACCACAGGCTGATGGGATGTGAACTGCCAGCCAGGGGCTGTGGGGCCTTGTGTCTTGCCCAGTAACTGGGTGCAGTTGGGGCAAGGGGGGTCCCCTGTCAGCTCATCTTAGTTCTTTTCTGTAGAAAGGGGAGTTCAGCCAAAAGAATTAGCCTCTTTTTTGGATTCTGGGTAAGTTGAGAGTATGTCAGAATATTTTATTAAAACAAAGTCTGTTCATTTTTTTAACAACAACATGTTCTTTATAGATAGTGTGCAATGTGGGGAAAAGCGGAAAACAAAAGCAGAAATATCCCTTACAAGGTGATAGCTGTCCACATTTTGGTGGATTTTCTTTTGTGAGTTTGTGGTTTCTTTGTGGGTTTTTGCATAATGCGAGAATATTAACTTAGATCCTTTTTTGTTTCATACTGTGCCATAGTCCTTCCCCACGCTGCCAGGAGCCTTTGCAGGCGTCAGCATTTTCACTGATTCTAAGGCATGTTTTTCATGGTGCAACATTTTTACGTGTTGTAGTTTCATTTGCAGGATTTTTTCTTTCAAAAAATGAAACAGTGGTGCATTGTGCATGAGGGCATCTTGTATCCAAGAAGTACAGCTCCTTTGAGATTCCAAGGGGATCGCTTGGCCCTTTGCTGTGCCTTCTGTGTTATTAACGACTGAGGTTTGTTTTAATGGCGAGTGCTGGGATTTGGGGCTGTGGTTTGGCCTCTGGTGTGTAAAGAGCTTCAGCAGGTGCCAGGGCTTCAGACCACTGGGGAGGGAACTGTCCTCTCTCGTCTCTGGATGTGCCAGCTCCCCACACGCCGCATGCCTGTCACTGAGCAGTCTCCCCATCTGACCTGTCCTCATATGTCCTGGGTGGCTCAGTTTTCCCATGCTCCTAGTGTGGGAATACTGTCTGAGGTTTGATTCAAAGGGCAGCTGCCCCCGAGTGGCTGAAGTCCTGTTCTCGAAGTCTCATCCCCTCTGAGGAAGCAGGGGTTGTTAGGAGAAAGTGTGATGTGGTGGTAGTGGTGGTGGCTGCAGGCTCTGTGGTGACCTGAGCAGTGGCACAGTCCAACAAGAGGGTGCTGGGGAACAGCTCTGCTCCTGCAACTTAGAAATGGGGAAGCCAAGGCCGGGATGAGGGAGGCCTGTGCTGAGAGCTGCTCTCGAGGGAAGCTCCACTGAGTTCACTCCCGTAGCACATTCTCACTGTCCCCCTTCTCTACACACTTCTCTTGAGCAGCAGTTCACATTGCTGACTGCCCGTGGCCTGCTCTTCCACAGTCAGCACTGCCCCTACCTGGCTCTTAGAAAATTAATTAATTAATTTATTTATTTGAGACAGGGTCTCACTTTGTCACCCAGGCTGGAGTGCAGTAGTGTCATCACAGCTCATAGCAACCTCAAACTTTTGGGCTCAAGCAATCCTCCTGCCTCAGCCTCCTGTAGCTTGAGCCACTGCACCTAGCCAGAAAATTATCGAAATATCTTGAAAAAGATAAAGCAGAGCAGAAATGACTCTGATAGCAAAGCAGCAGTGTGGCCAGAAAGTTCGCGCACGGCCAGGTGCTGGCTGGGATGTGACCCCACCGCCAGCCTCTCTCGGGAACCTCTCTCGGAACCTTCCTATTCTACCTGTGTCACTTGCCTCCTGTCTCTGTCCAGACCAAACGTGTCAGTGTCCCTGTACTTTGTGCTTCTCCGAGACCCCCAGTCCTGAGGGGACAGAGCACACAGGTGCCGAACCCTTCCTGATGTCTGCCATCCCTGCACGCTGCTCTGTGTAGCTAAAAATACTCTTTCTTTTCTTAGACAAGTATTCATTTTGTAAATTATATACCTTGGTAGACAACCTTTTAAAATCCAGATTTTCTACTTTCCTTCCTCTCTAACGATTAGAAATTCTGATTCTAGTTAAGTTAGTAATTATGTGGTTTAGCTTTTATAATTTTTAATGACTACAACTGTAGGTGTATGCAGAGTTCCGGAACAATTAAAAACTGACATTTTTATTGAAAAAGAGAGTGTGCTAAAAATCCTATTTCCTGGCCAGAAATATTTTGGGGGATAAGACATCCTATCACTGAGATTTCAGGAGCTTCACAGGCAGGCTGGAAGGAGCAGCCTCTGAGGGGGCTTACTGGGCCTGGGCATCCCTAGGGGTCAGGACAAGAGCTTGGGGTCAGCTTACTGGTCCTGGGCATCCCTCAGGGTCAGGATAAGAGCTTGGAGTTGGATCTGGAGATTGGGCCTGGGTGTCCCTTGGGGTCAGGACGGGAGCTTGGAGTCTCATCTGGAGGGGATGCCTCTCCACTTACATCACAGCATCTCTAGGCAACAACAGTGTGGCCTGGGTGGTCCCACGGAGTGTGTACAGGGTTGGAGCTTATGCCCTGGGCTATTGCTTGTTTTCTGTGGGCTTGTATGTTTGTGTGTCTGGTGTCATCATCAGGCCAGGTGTGAGGTCAGAGGGCAAGTTGCGGGTGTTCCCATGAGCTGGGGCCTTCAGGCCTGTGTGGGCCACCAAGGGCCCTCTGTGGACCCGCCTTTGCTGTCGCTGCATGGCTCTGACTCTTTTCCTTCTTCCTTCCCTGTTTTTTGGACCAGGGAGGACTTAGGATTCAGATTCATCTCAGAGCAGGTCAGCCACCACCCTCCCGTCAGCGCGTTCCACTCCGAAGGCCTCAGCCAGGACTTCCTGTTCCACGGCTCCATCTACCCAAAGCTGAAGTTCTGGGGCAAGAGCGTCGAGGCGGAGCCACGGGGCACCATCACGCTGGAGCTGCTCAGGTGAGTGGCGGAGGGCCCAGCTTGCCTCTTTGAAGACCGAAACTTCTTGCTTGTTTGGGAGGAAACTTCCAAGACTCTTCCTCCTTGTGGGAAATCCTACCCCTCCCCCAACCAGCAGTCTCCCATCCCCACCCCAGCTTCTCCAGTGAGGGGCCTCCTAGGCCACTTGTTGTTTAGGACTTCTCACTCTGGTTGCTCTTGTGTTTTGTAACACAGGACCCAAACTTAGCAGCTTAAAACACAGGGCTTATTATCCCTCATGGCATCCAAGGGGGGTGGTGGCGGGGCCATGCTGTGCTGAGGCTGCAGGGCCCTCGCCTGCTCTAGACCACCTGTGCCACCTGCACGGCAGGGCAGCTGTGCCCTCAGGGAGAGGACCTCCTCACACCCACATGTTCTGGGTAGGCTGGTCACACAGGCCTGGCAGAGCCAGGGGCCTTGCTGGAGGTGCCGTTCTAGAGGCTGCCCCAGCCATTTAGGCTGCTCTTCCTTGCGCAAATGCCCTCCAAGCTGGTATCTATCAAAGAGCCCATAGTGAGTGCCCAGCAAAACCCATTGCAGACATGGGCCAGGCTGCACGCTCGCTGCCAGTGTTTGCAGCTGGGAGTCTTGTTGGACTGTGATGCACTGTGAGGAGCATTTCCTCTGGTTGCTGCTTGGTGTTGGTCCAGCCTGGCTGGTTGCCAGGAAGTTCCCCAGCGCCCTGCAGCCACTCCTCACCCAGTGTGCTGGGTGTGCTTGCCATCCGGGTGGGGCACCTGGAGCTGACAGCTGTAAACCTGATAGCGGTGTTTGGGTTCCACCGAGGAAATTTGAGGAATTCCAAGCTTACATCCTGAAATCCTCCTGCTCTGAGTGGCTTTTTACCCTTACTTCTGGCTCCTTCAGGCAGCCTCTCTCGAGACGTGGGTTTGGTGACCTGCAGCTCACATCTGGGGTTTTTCCTCCTTGGGCAGGGCCATTTGGGAGGGTGGAGAGCTATTGGGAACAAGGCCCACCCTGCGCCCTCTCCTGCCGCGTGCCGGCTGCCCATGGCCAGGCGCAGCATGTCCTTGGCGGCCTGGTTTTACCTCTGACGACTTCAGGAGAATGCCGTTGCTGCGTCTGGGTCTTTCTTTATTGCTCGTTAACTTGTCTCGACGTTTGTGTAGAAAGCTTTGTTGAGGCTACAAAGGAAAGAAGAAATAAATTTAAAATGATTGCTAAATAAACAGACTTATGAGGGACTTCAAAGCAGTGCCCTGTGCTCCTCTGCTGGCTTCTGGCGCTTGCGTCCAGGTCTGCCTAGTCCCTGTAGCTCCGGTCACAGTGTCTGTGCTTTGCCGCCCCCTGACTTGCTTTTCTCTGGCCTGGTCACAGACACAACGAAGCCTACACCTGGACCAACCCCACCTGCTGTGTACACAACGTCATCATCGGGAAGCTGTGGATTGAGCAGTATGGGACGGTGGAGATTTTAAACCACAGGTAATGCTGCTGGGGTAAGACGACCATCCAGGACTCTGGGTGGGGCCTGCCACCTGCTGCCTTGGCCAGTGTCCAGGTCATGACAGGCGCTCCGGTCAGTGATGCCGTTCAGAGCCACAGTAATCACTTTATTTGGAGAGTTTAAACTATGCTAGGGAGGATTGTCATCCCTAGGTAAATATAGTGACCATCTTCAGACATGGGTAAATCCAGTCTCCAATCCCTCGTTCCTGGAGTGCATGACTGGTCTGGTGCACTCTTACCAGCTTTGTGGGATACAATTTATGTATTAAAAAATCCTCCCATTCTAAGTGGACACTTAGATTATTTTTAGTAAATATACTGAGCTTTGCAGCCGTCCTCACCAGCCAGGCTTGGGACATTTGCATCCTGCTGCAAGGGCCTGTCACAGCCGTTTGTATTCCTCCCATGCTGCCTGGCCGGGTGGCCTCCAGCTGTTTCCTCTCTGGAGATTTGCTTTCTGGGGACATCTCATGTCACACAACAGAAGCCTGTGTGTGTTTTTCCTGCAGGACCGGACATAAGTGTGTACTTAACTTTAAACCATGCGGATTGTTTGGAAAAGAGCTTCATAAAGTGGAAGGACACATTCAAGACAAAAAGTAGGTCCACGTCCAGATGGGTCCACAGTGAGCTCAGGGCGCATTGTGTGCTGTGTGTCTGCTGGTGACGTGTCTCCTCCTCTCTGCTAGTGTGCATGGCTGTGTGTGTGCAGGTGACTTGTCTCCTCTCTGCTAGTGTGCATGGCTGTGTGTGTGCAGGTGACTTGTCTCCGCCTCTCTGCTAGTGTGCATGGCTGTCTGTGTGCAAGTGACTTGTCTCCGCCTCTCTGCTAGTGTGCATGGCTGT